ATAAGAGGGAACCAATTAAATTAGCAGCACTGAGGTCCAGATTACTAACGAAGGGAAAAATGATAACTTCTGCATTGGTTTTGTAACTCAGAGTGAGAAGCCCTACAGCACTTCTCAGTTCCCTCACGAGAAGGAAACATAGTATTTCCAGGAACGTTACCGCTTTTGAGGGTTTCTTGTTTTGTTTAAAACTGCTTCTAATAGTTGTTGTAACCTATTTGCAAGATGATCAGATTGTAATTGTTAATTATAAAGGGGAGCAGTGGGCGGGGTTAGATACCGAGACTTTTCTCTTTGAGAGTACGCGTGGCAGTGCAAGTAAGATTTTCTTACCTTTCTTTCTTATCCTTTATTTCTGTTTCAAGTGCTCTATCAATTGCAAACCAGATGTTAGGATTTTAAGTGGTTTATTTGAGATGTGTTAAGTGTCAACCCAAGAGGGAGCAGTGGTGTGGTTTTTAACAGGGGATGATACAGGAAGGCTATGAGGGTGCACCCAGTCAGATTATCAGACAGGTTCTCTTCTTTATTCAGCCTTTTGTTTAATTCAGCCCTGGGCAGATGAACTGGGCTGAAAAGTAGTTGAGAAATCATGATTTGGCATTAAGGAGAAATAATTTCTTTTTGCATTCCCTTCACGTGCACTTTAAGCACTTGTGTGAGGCTAGATTTTAATGCCTGTGACATGTCCCATTCTGCTGAGCGACTTGAATTTCTGTTGGGGGGCAAAATCTTGTCCCTAACATTTCCAGCAGACTAATTTGTCTGCAGTGCTATGCGCAGTCCTTGTAATTAAAAAGTTCAAGGCAAATGCCAAGTGGCTGCAGAATGTCTCTTTTTTTTTTTTTTTTGTAAGGCACTTAAAGCTTCAGTGAAACATCTGTTTCCTCCTCCCCGCAGCTCATTTTGGAGATTAATATGATTCTAGTGAAATCTCACTGCGACGTGTGCTGCTGTTCAGTGGTTTCAAACACCTACACAAAAACTAATTGCAGCTTCTGCCATTCACTGCCTCTATTAAAAAAAAAAAAAAAAAGAAAAAAAGAAAAAAAGTTTTGTGAGCTAAAATGGTAGTTGCCAGTCTGAGTTACATCTGCAATAGGAAGCTGTAGCAGAAGGTACTTGAAAATATGGAATTATTTGGCATTCTGTGCCATATGTGCTGAGAGACTGCTGCCTCTGCAAACGTGACTGTTCTTTTGCCATCCATTTCTGTCCTCAACATGAAGAGCAAGGAGGGTGTGGAGGTCAGAGGGGAGGTACATATACAGAGATATTTTCTTTTTGAGTCCGTTTCTTCTGCACAAATTCTCAGTTTGTGAGAGGCTGGAAAAATTCAGGCTTGAAATACATTGTCTTTTCTGTGCAGAGAGAAATTTCCTGTATCTCTACAGACCATTAAAAATCCAGATGCTGGTGAGTAACTGGTGGGTGCATACCATCCAAAAGTTCAAACCAACCAACTTTCTTAAGTTTTGCAACTCCCTGTAACTGGGTGCAGCACCCTCCACTGTGCAGAGCTGTTTACACAGTGCTTACAGTGATGACAGAACCTGTTTCTGTGTTTAGATCACTTTTGGGCCCAGGCTCCTTGGAAACAAGTGAAAAGCACCTCTGTGAGCTGGGCTGACCTCTGGCTGGGCTAACAGGTTGAGGTGAGGTTGAAGATGTTTTTGCAAACAGAGGCTTTTTTAGAATTAATGTCCTTTTCCTCGACTATCAGACTAACCACTGTGTATTCATTAAAGCTTCTCTTTGCAAATAGACTAATACTACTTGATGCAGCTAACTGCTGTGAAATACAGAGGTGTGTTTGTCAGTTCCTGGAAAAAAATGACATTTCAGTTTGTCTCCCCTTCATGTCGGGCTCTCTCAGTTGGTGTGAAACTGTGTAGGTCTAGTGAAATCAACAGAATGGTTGTTAGGAGGAGTTACCGTCTCTAGCTTTCTGGTACTGTCTGTACAGCTGAGATGCCTTAGCCGTGACCACCTTCAGTGTTGACTTAAAAGTAATCTGCTTTTTTTGGCACTGACATGGATTTGGGCTACTTTCATAAGCATGCCTGTGAGACAGTAGTACAGTAACAACTGTATACTTAAATGTCAGTCATTGTAAGGCAATGACACCAAGGCCACCAGTACAATTTGATAAGATAGATCTAGCAACAGAGGGCAAGTAACGAATGCTAGTTGTCGGGATGCCTCCAGTCGTGATGGTAAAATCGCCGTGAAGAAGGTGGAAATCCCCATGGCCTGAGTTTCTTGTTATGAGAATGGTGGTTCAAAGGACAAAGTAGCTCAGTTAAAAACACTTCAGGACAGTAAATTAAAGATATATCTTTGATGGGTGAGATTACAAACCAGAAAACTAGATAGGAAAGAAAGCGTACCCTGAAGAGGGACCCAGTATGTTTTAGTGAAGATAGCTATATATATTCACACATATTTTAAGGTCAACATTTGAAGAGCTCTATACCCAAAACTTGAATCTGTTGCTGCTTATAGAAATGAAATTGTGTGTTTATCTAAGCCGTTGAGATGTAATTTCAGTTTATACCATGTTAGCACAACTAATCCTTTCAGTGATGTTCAGCTTCTGCCAATTCAGTCAATGGACTAATTGTGTGAAGTGAAGCATACAAGCACAGCAGTGTTTTATGTACTACATCTCACCACTTCCTGACCCTGTCTCACTGCACACTACCTTCTTGCAGTCTTCTACCCAGATCTGTTGTAGAGTTAGAAATGCCCAGATTAACTTTCCCTGCTTTGACAAGCTCCTTTACATTGCAGGAGGCCAGCTTTTATAGCGCATCCATAGGAAGCGTCTCCACTACAGCCTTTCACCACACGGGAGAGAGACTGAAGATGTAGGCAGCTGGCAAATGTGAAAGCAATGAAGAGGTGTTCTGAGGTTGACAGTGCTTTTTATAGGACGCGCATTTTCTGGGAAGGGCGTAAGAACGGAGATAAACAGGAGATGATTTTGGCAAGCTGAGAAGTAGCTGTAGCAGACCAAGATGTTCCAAAGAGAAGATCACAGCAAAAAGGTAAGGGTGCCAACTTCATCCTGTGCTTTTTTCCTGCTGCTTGAATATTTTCTTCAATGTTAACAATTTTTCCTTTGAAAACACTGGCATTTTCTGGAGAATCCTATAAATACTATAACAGCCATTCAGCATAATTTGAGAAAAATACAGCAGTATTTTTATAGCTCACTCTAGCCCCCTCAATTCCTCCTCTAAAAGTGTCGTGTTTTTTTTTCTAGAAGCTCTGCAGACTGATCAAATATTGATAACAGTTCAAAGATCAGAAATATTTCTGCATAACTGCTGCATATAGCGCAATAGTCAATCAAGACACAGGGGGGGAAGTCATGTAGTAGTTGATAAGAAGTCCTACAGAAGACTTTGACTCAAGACTAGAAATAACTGAAAATAACTCTGAAACTCTTATTCTTAGATAAACTGTTTTTACTTAAGGGTCTGCCAGCAAGGTTGTATGACTAAAAGGACTATGAATCTCTATTGTCAAAAGCAGTGCCATAATGTCATGCATGCATCCAAGGGGAGAGTGTCAAGGGGTTAATTTGATTGTGTTCAAGTTCTAATAGTGCAGCATCACAGTGTAATTTAGGATGTTACTCAGCCTTGGCCTAAGTCTACAGTCAGCTGAGTAATTGATGAAGTTCTTCGCATCGGCATGGATTTGGGCCAAAACTGAGGGGTTTTGAAAATCCCACTGGTAATGTTCTCAACGCAATTGTTTTGATGCAGCTTTACAGCTAGATCAATATTCATGTTCAGTCATCTAATTTTTCTTTCCTAAGTATACTTGAGGAAGTCTTACTAAAAATGATAATGTTCCCAGTTATAACTTCTCTTATTTTAAAAAATATCTAAGCTAGCTTTCCCTAAACCTTTTTATGTGGTCTTCACTCCTGGGCAGAGAGCATATGTGGAAAACACAGTAGTATTGTACACTGTTGCAAGACTTTTTATGATGTTATGAGAAACAGAAGAGGGCCTTAAAACAATAACATAGTTTGCAATGATGACAACCTCCTAGATGGAAACAAAGCTTCCCCTGATTTTGAGTAAGACTTGGTCTGAATGGTCCTGAAAAAATCCTGTCCCTAGTTCTTTGGTTTTTATGGCAGCATCTGGTAGGATATGTCAAACAGTGTTAGTTGCAGCAATTGGCCTTGATAACAGTTTCTTGGTTATCAAATTTCTGCTCCAGGTCAGGTTTCATATGTTCAAATGGGACCATATTTGCCACCTGGTGTTGTGGAAAAACATGTCTGGAAGCTAAAATGTATGCTGTGGGACTGACTGCCTTCAAAATTTGAGTGCTCCAAGAGTTGAGAATGCTTGGAGGGCCATCATTGCTCAGATGAGCTCGAGCACCTTAACATCTCTGTAGAAAGTAACGGATGACGACTTCCTAATATTTCTAAAGCATGGCAGACTTGGAGGCCTGGGGTAGTTTTTCATGGGCAATTGCCCAAGTCATGTTATTAAAATTAAACACATGCATACAGGATTTCCTGTGTAAACGTATTGGCACCTTTTGGGTCTTAGCACAAGCACTTCACAGCTCTGAGATCTGCCAGAGCAGTTGAGAAATGAAGTAAATTCTTAGAACACTCTCAGTGGTCTGGACTGAATGACCAAATTCTAACATGCCTGAATGACTGTCCTTGTCATTTGTCTTTCAGATCCTCAGGCTCCATCAGCCACCAGGTGATCACATTGCAGCAGCTGAGGTGTTGCCATGAGGATCAGGAGGTGTCCTGTCTGCTTCGCAGCATGTCTTTTGATCCTGCTGGGTAAACACCAGAGAGCCCAATATAGAGGCAGAGTTTTGAGAGAGCTGACAAGCCAGTTCCTGCACATACATGCATCTGTGTAAGAGTACTCCAAGTCCAGGGGCCTCTGTGGCACTGCATGGATGTAAGAACTGTTGCATGTGTGGGCTTAGACTCTGGTTTTTGAGAGATGATGCTCCGACGAGGATTTATTCTATTTCTCCCTCGACTTGTAGGCCTGCTGGTGGTGGCCTGTTGCTCAGTGTCTATTGTTTATATGTTGGCTTGCACACCCAAGGGTGACAACCAGCAGCTTGCCTTGCCCAGGGTGCACAATCTGAATGTGAAAGAGGGATATGAAGCCATTCTGCAAGAGCGAGAAGAGCAGCACCGCAACTACATCATCACCTTGAAGAAACAAATTGCCCAGCTGAAGTCTGAGCTCCAGGGCAGGAGCGAGCTGCTTAAGAACATGCAGGACCAATACCCAGACCCCTTGGACATTCGGCTTGACCACAGTAACCCGGAGAAGGCCCAGGCTAACCTGCTGGCTTTCCTCCGTTCCCAAATAGACAGAGCAGAGGTGCACAGCGGCGTTAAGCTGTCCACGGAGTATGCGGCTGTGCCCTTTGAGAGCTTTACCCTGCAGAAGGTGTACCAACTGGAGACAGGGCTGACGCGCCACCCAGAAGAGAAACCTGTAAGGAAGGACAAGCGAGATGAGTTGATAGAGGTGATCGAGTTAGCTGTTGGGAGTTTGAACGATCCAGAGGGGGACGGCAATGCAAAACACCGTGTATATACAGCCTCCGACTTTGTTGAAGGTTTGTATGCAGACAGCAGGTTAAAAGGTTCGCATAGTGCTGGTGAAGGGTTCTGGTGTGACTGGGTTGCTGAGGGAGATGGGTGTTATCTCAGCGCAGATGTCTGGGACAGTGTTAGTGCTGTGACGCAGCGATGCTGTCTCAGGCACAACTGCAGAATGGCAGCTTTCCTGGGGAACGGGACTTTGTGACAACAGAGCCCCCCCAAGCTCTCATAGTGACCACCAGTGTGTGTTCACAGCTCTCTAGCCATGTGCTTGCCTCAGAACTGACAAAGCAAGGAGTGAATGACCAGGCTGCAGTCCCAGATCTGTTAAGACTGATAACTGCAGTTCAAATCCAAGCTCAAACATTACCCTTACTTTCACCTGTGCAGCTCTGCCAGAGTCGGAGTGGCAAGATAGGTTTTGAGGACAGCAGCTGAGGAGCTCAGTAACTCAGCTGGTATTACCTATAACTCCAAATAACTAGGAGAGCTTAACCTTTACAGGGTATCTCCTATACTGGGAGTGGTGCACCTTGGATTCTAAAATGAACTCAACAGTCTTTACCCTCACATATAATACTGAGTAAGTGTGGATTTTTAAAGTGCTACTTTTAACAGCAAGCAGTTTTTACTTCATGTCTTCGATCACTAAATCATAGGTGCTTACTTGTTTCCAGTCAGACTGCTTTTCCACAGCCAGCCAGAGGCACCAGATGTACTCCAGGAGCTGTGATGTTTTGGTAGTTGATACCTGTTCAGGTTAGCCTCTGCTGCATGGCAGCTCTGAGTTTAAAGGGCAGGAACATGTGCAGCAGAAACTTGGTATGAGACAAGACTTCACAGATCTTGTTTCCAAGGGCTCATGACTGTTTCTCATTCATTGAGAGCTACATTTTTACTTATAATATGACTGTCCTAGTTTCTTTTCATAGGAACTGGCATGTTCCCTGCTTGTTGTTCAGTAGTGTTGTCTGTAAGTGAGATTTAATCCACAGTGGACCTAGCTGAATTTAGTATAGGAGGAAAAACTTCAGATGTTTGTGCTGCAGACCTGCAGGGCATGTGGGTAAGATGCCTACCTTTTATGACTGCTCTAATGTGCTGAACACAAGCCCCCATGCTCATCCCAAATAGCTAGTGATTTTGTTGGGGATTGTTTTCTTCATCTAATATTTATTAACAGAGCAGAGCAAAATGCATCCTCCATGTGATGAGAACAAACTACTGCTGTTGTGCAATGACCAGTTGTTCATTTCCACTCCCTGTACATGTTTTTCCAGTGATCATGGTATTGAGAGACAGTAGGTTCTTGAGGCCGTGCGGGGATATACGTGCCAGTCGGGCAGGTGCCTCCCACAGCAGGGACATAAGTTGTTCAGACTGTGGAGACCTTGTTGAGGCAGATCGTGGCTCCCCTCTGCTCCAGGCACTTCTTCCACACCAGTCAAATTCCTCTTGCTCTGGCATCGGACCAGGGCATGGGCAGAGAACTGGGAAGTGCTGCTGGCTGCCAGCATTTGAATGCATCATGGAGCTACGTGCTTCCAGTTTCCTTTCTGTTTGTTGTTCAGTTTATCATTTCAAAATATGTTTCTGCTGTTCATTATAGGAGCTGAACAAGCATGTATGACTGTTTGGCACCAGCTCTTTCATGGGGAGAGGGTGAGGGGAAAGGAGATGTTTCCTGCCATACATTGCTTAATGTTCCATGAAAGTTACCCTTTTGCTCAGAACCTACCTTTATGCACAATCAAGGGTCTTTGGGTACCAGTGCTGTCCTTGGGGTACAAGGCAGAATCTGGTGGGCAGAAAGGCATGGGGAAGGGATGCACACTGCAGTGCTGGCTCTGTGGAGGTTCTTTATGCTCTAATGACCTTGTTGGCTTTCACATACCGTGGTGAAATACTCCAGAGGGAGGAAGCCCTGCATGTAACTCAGAGCTCAAGAAACTGGAGCCCTGCGTGTAGCTCAGTCTGAGCTCAAGAAACCTTCCTTGTGTTCTCTCTTGTGGGCAGACCCTTGCTTCTGTAGGTGCACGGTAACAAATTCTTATTCTTACTCTGCAGTGCAAACCGGTTTGTTTGCAAATGCAGGGATCCATGCATCAGAGCTGGAAACAAAGAGCTGACTTGGCAGAAGATTTCCCTGCAGAGTTCCTTTGGAAGTCTCTGTCATCTCTTGGCAGTCTCTTTTCCTGCATCCTCCATTCTCCAAGAACTGCAAAAACTGCCGATCAAAGCACAAACAAATCCATTGGTCTGTATAACTTGAGCAGGAGAAGGGAAGACTAAGTTTTCTGTTCCAATTCTGGATTTCAAGTATGGTTTGGACTCAAAATTTGTTTTGGAGAAAGCGCTCTGCAGGTGCCACTGCCTACACAACGCATTAGTAACAGGCTCGATTCCATGGCAGCTTCTGGCAGCTTCCTACCAATCCAGCAACACAGCGACTGTGTGCGGTGTTACCCAGCCAGCAGAGCCAGCTGTTTTCATTTTCTGGAACTGCCCAGGGTAGCTGGAGCTTTCTGGGAGATGTGGCTTAGGTCTACACTGAAAGTAATACCACTTAACCCTGTAAGCTTTTTCTCTTCCAGCTGCTTTAGCAATAACTGAACACAAAAGCTGTATGCATCTCCTATGTTAAAGGTGGAGCCACTGCCCTCATCTTAAGGTTGAGCAGGTGGAGGGATGTGGTGAAGTAAAAATCAGGTAATTAGGATCAGAGAGAGGATTCAAAACCTGAACTGCTGCTCCTGGTGTGAGACTTGTGTCTTTGTTTCTGCCCTATTCAGCTAACCCTTTGACACCAGCTTTACTCAAGTGTGTTGCTGATCCTGAGTCTTACTAACATATAGAGAGGTGCAAGTTAATCTTGTTTGCTTGGGCCTCTTGTGGGGATTTTTCTGTTCTTGTGAGTCACGTGTGGTACCTGCTATCACTTTTTCAGAAGTAGTTCATTGCTAACATATGTCAATAGGCAGGGTGGTGGTGTGGTGCACTAAATTTGACTAGGGTCTGTATCTCTTCCTCTTTCCCATTTCTTGCCTTTACTCTTGTCTCTGCAGAGGGAAAATATTTCTTCAAACACTTCTTACATTTAAGGAGAAGTGTTTTGTCTCTGTGACTGAGATCTCTTAAAATAAGTGGTGCATCCTCTGCAGTTTCTAGACAGAACCACTTGCGTGTGGGAATTAGGCTGTGACCCTAGTACCTTACATCTGAGCTAAACTCCTTCTCAGCAGATTTACTGTTACATGAAATTTGGATAGGATTCTCAGACAGTTCGTCTTCCAGGAGTAATAACTGACACTTCATGGAATTTTCCATTATTTTTTTTCTTATTCAAAACCGAGAGAACCACACCTTCTCCCTGGGGCCCGAAACATAGCCATCTGGCTGCTGCTCTGCTCTGCTTCTCTCTTCATAGAGGCACTTGGGCTGTTCAGCTGCTATAATCCCCCTCTCTCCCCCTTATTCCTCCCACTTCTATACCAAGCTCACTGGTTTTTTGCCATGAGGAGTAGGTAAGAAACAACATGGAAAAGATCAGAAATTTCTGTGTATTACAAGCAGGCAAAGGACTACTCTGTTTCCAATAGAAAGCCAGTTGTTACTCAGTGTGTGGCTGTCTAGTGACTGGAATTTTAAATAAGATGTCAGAGACAAATGGAAAGGAATAGCTTTGCTTTGTCAAATTGACAGCTACTGGTGGTGGGCTACCTGATACAGTTTTTCCCCGGGAAGCTTGTTGAGAGATAGGATGGTACTCTTCCTCAAAGGCTAAGATGCTGTATTTTACTGCATGTGAAGTGGGAAGACCACCGTAATATTGAGTTAAAATGGGCACAATGAATGCTGATAAATCCTAATAGTGGTTTCTACAACATCTAACAGAATATAAGTAATGAACGTGGGTCCAGGGAGTGTTTCTATTGACAGTGGCAGACCTGAAACCTATGGTCTGTGGAACCGAGGCTAAAATTGTCATTCACCCAGCAGCATTTTGTTAAGGTTGCGTGGCTGTTTGCTAGTTATCAGTTCCATGTGGATCTCTGAAACTTGTTTGCCTGCCCTGCTGAGTAGTGATCAGGTATTTTCCATTTCTTTAGAGAGCCCTGAGAATTGCTGCTCCAAAGACTGGACGCTTACTGCTCTTTAGTCAACCCTTCAGCCCAGGTCTTTTCTTTTTTTTTTTTTTTTTTTGCTTCTCACTTGTCCTTTTCCTTCATTTTAGGGCCAGTCTCTCTGCTGACCCAAAGCTCCTGTTCACTTTTTTACACTGGGTTTCCAAAGGCTTTGACTTTTCTCCCTGCTTCTGAAAGGAACAGTGCATATTGGAGAGGGAGAGGGACTTTTTACAAGGGTATGTAGTGACAGGACAAGGGGCAATGGCTTTAAACTGAAAGAGGGAAGATTTAGATGAGCTATTAGGAAGAAATTCTTCCCGGTGAGGGTGGTGAGGCAGTGGCAGAGGTTGCCCAGAGAAGCTGTGACTGCCCCATCCCTGGAAGTGTTCAAGGCCAGGTTGGATGGGGCTGTGAGCAACCTGGTCTGGTGGAAGGTGTCCCTGCCCATGGCAGGGGGTTGGAACTAGGTGGTCTTTGAAGTCCCTTCCAACCAAACCATTCTGATTCTATGATATTCTGAAACATAAGCTGCTCTAATGGAAGCAATAGATGATCAGTTAACCTTCTTTTATCCATAGTGAACATCTAGCCTTTACAAGGCTTTCATTTCAGGAGCAACCTTTTCAGGAAAAGGTTTTTTTGTTTTTTGTTTTACTTTGAGGCTACTTTTTTCCCCTCCTCATAGCTCATCTCCTAGAATTGAGGTTGCTTGATGCATCTTTCTGAATCACGTAAAAAGTCCTGATGGCACAAATGAAGTAGTGCCTTCGGAAATGGAAAAATCTTGTGAAAGGCAGGATGTTCTGCTGGGTGAGTCCACAGAGTGACTCAAGACATTTAGGCTCATTTCCAAGGCTCACTGCCTGACCTTGGGAAAATCACTTTGTTCTCTGCTTCTAAAAAGAAGATACTTAAAAAGGGAAAGCAAATGGTTTAAATGTGCACCAGGAATAACCATATTTAATTACATGCATTAAACTTACATACAATTCTCTTCAAGATAAAATGTTAGGATTATAAATTCTTGGATTACCATCTTGCGTGAGGGAACCTTACTTTCACCTAAGCTGCTTGTTTTCAGCTGTAGTAGAAGTTCTGAAGAAGAACAAAACTGCAGAGTTAGAAGCAGCCTCTGTTGTTGTGTGTATAGCTCTAGGAGGAACCCCTTGGGTCACAACATGCGTTCTGCTTTAAGGTGCTTCTTGCTTATTTTGCAAAGCTTCCTTTATTTCACAAATGCAGCACATATCTCTGCGAAAGTGGTATTTACGGGGTCATTGTTTCTTGGCTGGGGTAGAAGAGAATGTAGAAGCAAAGACTTTGAGATGTTGCATGGTAGATATTATTAAATTGGTTAATTTAGATCTTTGTTATTATGAAAAATGTCAGTTGACTATGTCAAACGTGAAACAGTCCTATCTGTTTCTCTATAGAGAAAATACAAAGCAGATTTAATTTAGATTTTTGTTTAGCTTAATGTCAAAAGGCTACCTTAACCTTTCAGAGCATAAACTACCTTGGCCAGACCTGTATTCAAAAACTGCCTGAGTAAATGAGTGCACCCACCAACACACTCGGATCATCAGGAGAAGGAAACGCAGGGACTGTTAGGTCACCATTCAGATGATCTCAAGTGCAGGCTCAAGTTCAGTAACAGATGTAGTTCACGGTCTGCACCATGGGCAGACTATATAGAAAAAGTTAGGGGGAGTCAAAGGCACAGCTTTAAAAGATTAGCAGTAGAAGAATGATGGAGCTGCTATCTCACCAGATTCATCTGCTATGCTGGAGGGAGGATTGGAGCATTTGTTGAATCAGCTTTTATTAAAAAGAAAACATGAAGTGAATAACAGATCAGCAAATCTGCATATAGTATTAACCAACTGAAGTGTTCATTAAGAATAAAACACACAGTGGTAGCGAAGATAAGACAGTCCACAGAACTCTGACCAGATAAAATCACACCTCATTAATCTTCTGGATGTTCTGGACATACCAATGTAAAAGCTGCAATGCAAGATGAAGAGCTTATGTCACTTTGCTGTTCAAAAGAAACCTTTGACCCAGACCTTCACAAGAAATACAGACAGAATTGACAGTCTACGGATCAGGTGCACATCAGGGAATGACTAAGACTGGAAAAAAAAAAAAAAGAAGCAGCATTATTTTGGTCAAGCTGTTCTTCATAACCAGATGGGAAGGGGAAAAAAAAAAAGGAAGAAACAAGTAAAGCAGAGGAGTGTTTTTCTAGACATGTTTTGCTTGTCTTGTGTTTCTGCAAGAGATGGAAGGCAATGCAATTACACTCTTCTACTGATGGAGTTGTTAGGATACTTACAGTGGCTTAACAAGTAGTTAGCATTTAATTGTTCCTTCTTAAACCTAACAGAACTAACTATGAAAAAGCTTTATTTCAGTATGTACTGTAGGGACTAAAGTATCATTCAGAGTAGGTAAAATCTATAGCTTTTTTGCCAACTTTATCTCATTTAAGGCATCAGAATACTGTTTCAGTGGGGTACGACCAATACTTCTATAGTTCATGCCAGCCCTCAGCATGAGACCAATTGCACCCATCAAGTATGTTAAAAGTTCGTTCCATACAGGAAATAAGTACATGCTTGTATGAATTAAATATGCTTGGAGATTGTCGTAATGCAGTAGCCAGGATTGTGTCCTGGGTCTAACCTCTGACACACTCCATAGCATCATCCTTGCAGACCATTACTTGCCCCAGAGTGGACATCATTGCCACAAAGAAAATAAAAGTCTCTTGAGAGTTGAGTGACAGGAGAGTTTTTGTCCTGATTGGCAGTGGGTGAAGTTGATGGCTGCTGGGGCCTGGTTGCATAGTTTTATTAGGGGACTTTCCAGAGAACCTCCCAGAAAGGAGGAAATGAATGTGCTCATCAGGAAATTGCTTTTCTGGGAGATGGCCTAACCACTCATATTGCGGAGAGGCAGGCTGCCTTTTGCAGTCTCTCTGCATCACCATTACCATGCATGCCTGCAGCGTGCGATTGGAGCAGTCTGAAAAATAAGGACAGTTTGTCTGCTGGGTTATACTGAGTGTGAGCAATTGGTAACCTTCAGGGGTTTGTAATTGAGCCAAGCCTAGGAATGTGCCTGCAAGAATAACAAATAGCTCCTGCAACCTGGGGTGGTGTCCCTGCCAGAGTAACAGCCTCCTCAAAATGGTGGTGGATTGGGTACTAGTTTAAAAGTAAATATCTCACGCCTCTGCTGCCTTTTTAGCTTAGGTGTAACACATGAAGACTGCATCCTCTTTTTTTCCCCCAGGAGCCCAGCTTTAATCCAAAATCTTCTCTTTTTTTTTTTTAATACAGGGATCTACCGAACAGAAAAAGACAAAGGCACTCTGTATGAGCTGACTTTCAAAGGAGACGCAAAACATCAGTTCAAGAAGATTGTTTTATTCCGGCCATTTGGTCCTGTAATGAAAGTGAAAAATGAAAATGTCAATATGGCTGACACACTTATTAATGTCATTGTGCCATTGGCCAAGAGAGCCAGCAAATTTCGGCAATTCATGCAGAATTTCAGGTGGGTTTCCATTCCGGTGCTGCCTTTGCTTTTTCTTACTTAGAAAGAAAAATGCAATTTCAGGAGTTATCAAGGCCTCACTCAGTAAAAATCATGCTACTTTTACAGAATGTTTCATTGTGCCGCTAAAGTAATTTTTGAGATTATAGAGACTGAAAGGCATTTGGCTGCTTAATGCATTGCGATTAGCAGTAAAAGCAATTATATTCCAGTCATCAAGGTTTCTGATTTGCATGTACCTGGCTTATGTGTCTCAATATGTTTTGTTGGGGCACACGTGACTGTGGCAACTTGAGAATTTCATGTCATTAGTTGCAAAGGAACATTTCTAATGAAAAAGAGAATTAGTGCTCCCAGACACTGTGCCAGACCCTATTAGAGAAGAGATTAAAGCAATAAGAGGCAAGAAGGAAATGTATTTGAACTTTCAGGATAGTTAGTTTTAAACTTCTTTTATTTTTCAGCATAGAGATGATGTTTAGAGGGAGAACTTAATTGAGATGTAGCTTTAAATAGCTGCCCAGAAAAGACTGTGTTAGCAACAGACACCGACTCTTACAATGGCATTTGTTTTGCCTAATCACAGCCATCTAAAAATAGGCTCCTTGTCTAAATTAGCCATCTGATAGATGCTTGTTTCAGGATGGGAGAAATCACCCTCTGGTCCTGTTGATCTCTCTGCTGATTATAGATGAACTCTTGCTGACTAAACTTTGTGCAAGTGAGGCATGATGTCTAGCATTAGTTCAGATTGGTCCTACCCTTAGGCTACTGGCTTGATCTCTGGTTGATACTTAGATTTTAGTAAATGTTTTTTAACAAAATTCCAAAGATCTGAATTCCGGAATATCTGTTACAAAAAATCAAGGTTAAGAGGTAGGGTGTGTATGGTTTCTTTAAAATCCCCCTTCTCGTATTCTCCTAAATGCTGAGGTTATTGCCTGCCTGATCATTCTTCCTGAGGCTGGATGGTCTGTTTTGACGGTGTCCTCCTATTAATATAACAAACACTACTTAGGGAGGTTTTTTTTCTAATCTACCTGAAAGATAGTCTTCTGTCCCATCTGGCAGAGGCAGTGAGCCCCTTTGGCAGGACAAGGATCTCTGTCAGTGAATCATGCCCTCAGGTGCCTTCCAAGGTTCACCCCTACTCTGCCTCCCCAGCGGGTGTAAGTTATTGAAGAAAGCTAATTTCCGGGACAAGTCACAAATACTTAGGGAGGTTTTTTTTCTAATCTACCTGAAAGATAGTCTTCTGTCCCATCTGGCAGAGGCAGTGAGCCCCTTTGGCAGGACAAGGATCTCTGTCAGTGAATCATGCCCTCAGGTGCCTTCCAAGGTTCACCCCTACTCTGCCTCCCCAGCGGGTGTAAGTTATTGAAGAAAGCTAATTTCCGGGACAAGTCACAAATCTGTCTCTGTTCTCTAGGGAAATGGGCATGCAGGATGGGAGAATTCACCTCACTGTAGTTTACTTTGGAAAAGAACAAATGAATGAAGTCAAATCGATACTTGAAAATACCTCCAAGTAAGTACCTGAATATCTGATGTGCGCTGTTCACACACAGCGATCATACCATGAATTGGAGACTAGATCGCTGTCCAAAGTCGTAGTTATGCCAAGAAGTTCTAAACTGCATTGGAGAAACCGGCTTACTTTCCTTTGTATCAAATAAAAATGGTGTTACCCTGACAGTCCCATATCTGTGGTTTTGTGATGTTGGGTTTTAGAACCACAAAGCAGATTTTACTGAATTTACCTAAGTGCAGCTTTTTTTTTTTTTTTTTTTTTCACATTGGTAACTTCTTTAGTGCTTTTGAAAGTGGCTTTAACTGTTAGGGCTAAAAGTTGACTTCCAAAAGCAGGTGCAGATGATTTCAGTAGAGCACAAGGGAACTTAGGTGCTTTTTGCCAGGTCTGGTCTGTTGTATTTGCTTGCATAGCTGTGTTTGTCACGGTCATGTGGCAGTGTAGCCTTTGGTTACCATCTCCATGTGGGAAGAGGAACCTTGTACAGATACAGGATACGACCACAGGTATTTTATATTTGTCTACTAAAGATATTTTTGTCCATCTAAGCCTTGTTGGGATTTTTGTGAGGTCTGCCCAAAGAACGTCTGTGTCAGGAATGCTAGCGTAGGAGTACACAGGTCAAGCTCTGAATGTAGACATAGTGGAAATCTCAAGACTCAAAGAGGACATCTCTTCCCTCAAATGGCTCTCAGAACTGTGATACAAGAGATTTCTAGGTTAATCGTTTCATACTGGGTTCCCGCCCCCACTTGTGTTAAGAGCTGGAAGGACAAGGTAAGTGGCTGAATATTTTCCTTCTCCTAGGTCAGCCAACTTCAAGAACTTCACCTTCATCCAGCTGAATGAAGAATTTTCCAGGGGCAAAGGATTAGATGTTGGTGCTCGATTTTGGAAAGGAAACAATGTTGTTCTCTTTTTTTGCGATGTGGATATATACTTCACAGCTGAATTCCTGAACTCCTGTAGATTGAACACACAGCCAGGTACTGCTACTCAAAGTGTATTGTCTTTCAACAGATTTTTACCTATTGTGTAAAAGCCTTCACCAGAGCGTTCTTGCATTTGAATTGGTAATAAAGCTGCTGTAAATCATTCTTGAAACTTAGAGAACTAATTAAGACGTGTATAAAAATTCCATTGCTGGTTGGCTTTTGAAAGGTTCTAACACTCCTGCCCTGACTGTGATTTGAATTTCTTGCCTTCAGCACCTGTGCTTTCTGAAACAGGATCTTTTTTGTTAATTATATCCTCACATTCTCAGGCAAAGAACATAGGCTCAGTCCAAAACTTATGTGACTTTGTCTGGATTTGGTCTGGCCTGGACAGCATCTTGTAAGAGAGAAGTGTGTGTTATACAGCTTTTAAAAAAAAAATATAACCCATTGTCATTTCCAGGGAAGAAGGTGTTTTATCCTGTTCTGTTCAGCCAGTATAACCCCAGTATAATTTATGGCCACCATGATTCCATCCCATCTTTGGAACAGCAGCTGGTAAGTACATGCTTCTCTGAATGCCTGCTTTTATTTAGACAAACCATTTTGTAAAGGTGCCTGTGCTCTTGGGTAGTGTTTCCCTATTCCTTGTGCACAGTGACTACCACACAGACAAAATTAACTACAGTAGTCACCTTATTGTGAGTTCTGAAGTTAAGTTTCACGGGGAGGTATCTTGGTAACATTTATTTTAACCCTTGATTGATGTTTCATACATGGCACCTAAGAATTTAAACTATCTGCTTCTCTGCCAGAAGGGATTTTCTAATTGGCAAACAATTCCGCCATGGTGTGCTGTCTTGGGGTGACAGTCCCTGATCTTGCTCTCATTTCTTCTTTGCACTGGATAGTTTCTTTGCTTGTATCTTGAAGAGCTGACATTTGTAAAAAGCATAGATATCCTCAGATGAGTCAGTGAAAACAGAATGCCAGGGGCTGTCACAGTTATTCCCCCCCTTACTTGAACACCTGCAGTGGGTTTTCCCATCCCACAGTTCATGACTGAACTGCCTGTGAGTAGACAGTGTGTTTCTGAAGCGTACCACATTGTCTCAGAGTCAAATGACATCCTCAGAGCTGTCCCTTCTGGCTTTAATCTGGCACTAATATAACACAGCATAACTCCACTGATTTCCATCTCACCTGCTTATCTTCAGTGTGAGAACAAAGCATTATTTTTAAAAACATCGCCATAAGGCATATGATTAAAACATGTAGTTAAACCTAGGTGAATCTCCTTGAGGAGGAAGCTGTTGTGAGGAAGAAGCAGAGCACACAGACAAGAGGTTCACATGAATGCTAGTGGCAGAGCGATTGCTTGGCACTGCTGCAGATGCTTTTCTCTGTTCTCTTGTACTCTGGCATTGCATTATCTTCAAGCTAAAGGGGTGATAGAAGTGGTAGCTTTATGTACACCCTCTGCTCTTGCTTCTCTCCGGAGTCAGCGGGTCACAGTCCTATGCCCACTAGTGCTGGTAAGGGGATGAATTTTCAGATTGAAGCATAAGCCAGCAATGCAGCTTCATTCGGTTCCTCTGGGGCAGGTCCCAGCCTGGCACTGCTGCCCCTCTTACTGCCAGGCACTGCACCTAACGGGGCTCATCCTGTCCCAGGCCAGACACTGTCTCCAGAGCATCCCAGCTTCTAGTGTTGTTCTTGGTAGGTAAGAATTAGGGGTGCTGTGAGCCCAGCAACAGTCACAGCTGAAAAAGATCACTAGGGATCTGAGTCCAGTCTTCTGTCATCACTACCCCCACCTCATGCAATCCCTTTAGAAAAATGAAGAACGAGAGTTTGAAAAGTCCACCCAAAATATTTAAAAATATTTTTTTGTCTACTGCTCCCTGTGTTATCCAACAAGTAGCCAGAAAGTCCTTTACTGAAGTTTCTGGAAAATCCTTTCCACTTTTTTTTTTTTCTGAGGAAACTTGTTCTGATAACACCATGGGATTCACATCAGCTCTTTTCTCTCTGGTGAGAACCTGTCAGGGATCCTCAGACTTGTAAGCACTGTGCTTAGGAAATGAAATAGAGTTTAGCTCTCAAGCTAGCATAAATTCCACAAAGTACATTGTCAGGATTGTGCAAATATTTATAGCTAATATTTGAATCATAAAATGCGATGCTTATGTCAGAAAAGCTTCTTGATTTAAAGAAGTACTGCCAATCTCCTTTTTATGTAGATTTTTATATTTTCAGCCCACATTATGGCATGAGGCCATATCTGTGCCATTAAAACAAGACAGTGTTAGCTCTCTGTCCTGGTACTCGGGCTGCTGAGCAAAAAAAGCCTCCAGAAATCTTTGAAAGAATTTGATTTGTGCAGCAGCCACTTGCACTAATGGGAAATAATAATGCTAATGCATACGAGTAGCTTGCTGTAAGGGCATCGTTATGGAGATTTCTTGATGCAGTGCAGATCTGACAGATACAATCTTGTTTCCTTTTAATTGGCTTCTGCAGCGGCTTGGCTTTTTCAAGGAAAGGAGAAATGAGAAAAGAGAGAGGTAGCAACGGAAGCAGTAAAATAAAAAAAAGCCATTGAAGTAACAAGGGTAATGAACAAAAAGGGGAGGCGTGAACGAGAACTCAGGAGACACTTTTTTGGAAGAGGAATTTTTGGTAAAGGGATGGGGTTTACAAATGCTGGGATTTGTAAATCCAGAAATGGAAATTCTGTCTCCTTGTCTTTTGTAACTTTCTTGCAAGTGAAGCCAAAATTTTCAAAAATAGCTGCCAAGGGGTAGGTTTGTAACCAGACCTTTGAGAGTATGAAGTACTGCTGACTTGCTTAGAGGATTTAAATACCTGTCCCAGTCTCTTGAAGCTCTTGGATGTCTCACCAGATTGGGTTAGGTCACTCACACACATGAATTATGACCTTCGGGATCTATACTTGGATATCTGCTTTTGAAAATTATAGCCATGGTTTTTCACTGCTCTGATTTTCTACCTGTAATACATAATGTTTTCATGGTCCATCTCAGTAATGTAGATTGCACATTCATTATTACGAAGGCTTTTATGGGAGATATGTCTGCTGCCTAACATCTCTGGACTTCAATTTTAGCTGGATTTAGCGGTTCTGTAATGGAAAACTATTCTTACCGCTTACCTCATTTTTGTCAAAATTAAGGTAACCAAAAAGCTGTCAGTTGTGCGAACAGATTACAACCACTGTTTTCTTCCAGAACTCTTGCGGTCTGCAATCCAGGTGCCACCATCTGCTCTACAGCAGAGTCTGGCTTCCCTGGTTTACCAGTATGTTTCTTACATCGGATTTGAATCCGACAGAAGCTAATGATTTTGGATGATATTTTGCCTGTGAAGAAGCAAACTCCAGAGAGTGATGTGACATTGTTCCATTTGGTGTACGACAGCAGGAGTGGAGCAAAACCTGATCATTCCGGATCAGGGCATTTATCCGTGATAGCTAATGACACGGCTGGGTTTTTAGGGCAGAAACATGCAATGAGTATCTACAAAAACTGGTTCAGGATCAGGATCAGCCATGGATTTACGTGGGGAAGAATAAAAGGGCAATTGCTCCTGTTTCTGACCACATTCAGGGACTTGTCTGCTGCTCACACTGAAAGCATTTCTGTTCCCATATAATCATTGCTTTCCCTCCATGCAGATTATTAAAAAAGAAACTGGATTTTGGAGAGACTTTGGTTTTGGGATGACTTGCCAGTACAGATCTGACTTTATCAACATAGGTAAGAAAAATACACTCCAATACTTCTGCCTTTTTACTGAAACATAAAAGTTAGATGTTCAGGCTATTCCTAGGTGCCATAGAGGTTGCCAGAATCTAATCTACTTGGTACAAATAAAGCAGTTTCGTCTGATAGTGAAAGATTTGAAACTAAGAAATCTGGACACTTTGATGTTGGCAGAAAGTATGGCTGTTTTAAAGGGCTGACTGGAGCCAGAGAACTGCTGTAGCGCAATTAATAGCATCGAGTTTGCTAGTATGTATTTCTAGTTTTATTTTGTATTTTGTTTGTGTCAGGTGGCTTTGATCTGGACATTAAAGGCTGGGGTGGTGAAGATGTACATCTGTACCGCAAATACCTTCACAGCAACCTCATTGTGATCCGAACGCCTGTCAGGGGTCTCTTCCATCTGTGGCATGAGAAGCAATGTCTGGACGAGCTGACCCCAGAGCAGTACAAAATGTGCATGCAGTCCAAGGCCATGAATGAGGCTTCTCATGGCCAGCTTGGGATGCTTGTTTTCAAGCAAGAGATTGAGACGCACCTGCAGAGACAGAAACTGAGCAGTAAGAAGACATGAAACCAGAAAGGGAGGCAAAAAGCCTCTGAAATGGAGTATAGAGTGTTTTGGAAAAGAGTTGTTAACAAGAGACGGGATGAAACTGAAAGAGGATGGAGATTCCAGCAGGATGGCAGGCAGCAAAAGAAGATGAGGGGAAGTGCTTGTTCTCCCTTCTTCTGTGTGGTTTTTTGTTTTTTTTTTTTTTTTTTTTTTCCTTAATAGGGCTTTTAAGTACTCCATTAGCCTGACTGTTCAGCACTTGCTTCTAAGGGAGACTTGAACACTTGATGAGATTCAAGGTCACGGAGACAATGAACATTACATAAATGGCAGTGTGGTACTCATAATAACAAATGGATGTGCTCTTCTGTTGAAATGTTTGTAAGATGTGTACAGTTATTTAAAGGATTGACCCTTTGGTGGGCCAATAATAATAAGTTCTTTTCTACATCTAACCTGACATATCTAAAAAGGGCTATTTTTGAGTAAGTACAGAGCTCCTGCTCTGAGAAGGACATCTGATTGTTAATGACCGTTAAGCTGGAGTGACCAAAAATCTTTTTCCCTTAAGGGGCTGGGGCCGGAGCGGGGCACAGCAGCGATGCACTAACAGGGTATTCCTGGTTCATTCAGAGGCAAGAGGCATCTCAGAAAGTGCTTTCTAAAATTCAGAAAGATAAAGCACTACTCGTCAAGTGTGATGTTTCAAAAACACTGGAGGGTAGTGTTTGTTCTCTTCTGTGGACAGTGAACCAAAAACAATGAGCCATGTCTGTATCACATGAATCAGACGGTGTATTTCTGCTTTAGAATACCCTAAGTATCTCAAGATTTATTTTTAAATGAAGTTGGTTTTGCTTGGGAATTATTTTGTCATACTTCAGGCTTTCTACTTCTAGCCTTACTAGGAAATAGTACAGCCTTCCAACACTTGGAAAATGTTCTGCAGATCTGTGTTTCCTGTGGATGGGAACTGGGTTCAGATAAGTGAAGTGATTTTTCTACGCAACCTGGGTGCTGGAAGGCAGAAGCTTTACCAGACTGAAGAAAAGGAAATACGTATCAACTTGTAGTGCTCATTTAGCAGGAGGCTTTAAACTCTGAATGTCAGATACCAAAATTGATGAACGTTTTCTGACTTTATACCAAAGTATTCCTTCTAAACCAAATACAGATTCTTGCCCAGGGCATAGCAAGCTTTTTGTAATTAACGAAATAATTTTTGTGATGGATTACTGGGCCCTGCAAATTGTCTTATGATAATTATAGGTGCATCCTCAAAATCAGTCTCCTTCATAGTTTTTTTTCAATTACCTAAAACTGTTGAAAGCACGAGTTACTGCTCTTATAAAGCGTTTTCTTTTAATGCTGCCTGCTGTTTATCATTTTACTATATACTAGCCAACAAAATCTGCATGGGCTCGGAAATCCCATTTGCTTACCTAAATGCTGTTTCTCCAAGTAGTCTCTTTGTTTTATAGCTTCAGATTAATTCAAGGCAGTCTGAAACCAGATTATAATTTGGGTTTTGGCTTGTAAAAGCTGGGGGAAGAAATATGCAAGATAGCACTGAACAATGAACAAAACACTATTTCTCATAGCACTGTGTGGTAGGAAGAGCACTTACGAACCTCTTTTGAAAGCACTGCATGCAGAATCTGCAGACAGAGACCACACTACTGTAAGTACCTTTTCCCTTGACACATGTTTACATGTGTTTGTCTTTTGGATGCAAATGATCTGCATTGCACTTCCCTTGCAAATCACCAAATGTCCAAAACCACTGCAAAAGTACAAAAAGAATGGGAACTCTGTATGCTTAAAAACCCCAACCCCCAAATACACCACTTACCATAAAAACTTCAGCAGTAACTTAAGTAGGTCCTCCAAAGAACTTCTTTGTTCCCAGAATACATGATAAATTGTTTCTGAAGGGGATGGAGTAATTTTACAAATACTATGCAGTGGGAGGAGACAGGCAGGGCTTGTTGAATGCATATCAGGACTATGATAACTGAGCTGCTCCAAAGTGATAGTTGTTCCTACAGTCCCACTTAACCTGAATTTGAAACTGGATTATGTGTATTATGAAAGTTTCATAATCCTAATCTGCCTTAAGCCAAGCCTTAACTATTTCCATGATGTTTTTTCATTATCTTCCCTTAGGTTTCCCTAAGCCCTCAGCAACTTAATGTAACTTTGAGGTTGGCCACGCTTGTAGAGCAGGACTTGTGGAGCAGATGATCCCCAGAGGTCCCTTCAAACCTATATTAGTCTCTAATTCTAAGTACAGGGCACCTGTAAATTCAACACTCTTACTTCGGGTACCTTAGCAATCACGTCATCCAGCCCCTGTCAGAGTTTCACAAGTTCTGTTTTTAAATAGCACCTTTGTGATTCTCTTGCACGTCCTTTTCCACAGAGACACTGTTCCTCCTGCCAGGAATAATACTGTCTATGCAGTTCCTGTTCCTTGGCTGCAGAAGCCAGTTTGGCAAGAGGTGAGATTGAATCAATGATGGAGAGCACCAGCCTGCAGTCATTGGCCACCTGAGTGATGTGCAGGAGAACCTAATCACAGCAGAAGTCTGGCAGGGCTCTTTTAAAGGTGGAGACTGCGCTGATATGAGAGGTAAATAACAATATGAGAAAGGGAAACTGCTGTTAAGTACGTTTCTGTGAGCCAGGAGGAGCTGTAACAGGTTCTCCAGACCAGTTAGAAAAAGATGAAATCCAAAGAGAGCAGCCAACAGAACCGTAGCTTTTGCCAGGCAGCTCTCTACCTTCCTTGTCCCAGAAATGGCTTGTGATCTTTCTCAGAATGGCAACTGACTGGATCTTAGTTGGGGAGGGAATAGAGATCACCCTGTGCAGACAGGGAGGCTGTACGAGGACGCCTTGCAACAGTCATCAAATATTAAAGCATGCTCTGGCTAAAGGCACAGAGGCATGAGGCAAAACAAATTGCCATATCCTTTCAGGTGTCATGATCTCTCCAGCAAGCAATTTTCCAGTGTGACTACTCTTGTAGTCCTTGCACAGCATCCTTTGAAGAAAGAAAGAGTCTACAGAGAAGCTCCCCAAGACAAGCCAGCTGCCTTGATTCCTGACTGCTGCAAGTCATCCTTGCTCCACAGACTTTCAGGGTAACTAGATTTCAGAGTAATAGAAGAGCCCATCTAGAGGGCATCTGTTCTGGCAAGGGTGCTGCCTTTGCAGTCAGTGCACTAATCTAAATGTGTAGGTATAAAACTTCAGGTGCCTTCCCTCACAGCAGGCAAGCAAAGCTGGGAGTCTTTAAAAAACTGAGACACGATTCTCGAACGTGTGGGATAGATGTGAACACTGATAGTGGCTTTCCCTGAGCTCTACTGAGCCAATATTTGCAGATAAGTAGTTATAATACAAAGGTATGTGAAGCTATTGGTCTACTGGTCAGCAGGTGAAACCCTGAGGAGTTCCACTATAGATCTTAGAGCTAAAATTGATCATGTCCTGCTATCTGGCTGTGTCCAAGCCAGACCAGCCTGCACCTTATTTCTGCAATTTAACATCCTGCTTCTCAAACTGTGCTTTTAAAGGAGAATTTTTTCCCCTGTCTTTACCAGCCCATGTGTATACAAAACACTTTGCTATTTGTCTCCCGCAGGACAACAGCTATGGCATCTTCTTCACATGAGAACAGATGCAAACTTTTCTCTAGGATCTCTGAATGACCTTTCATTTTGGCCATATTTTTGAGAAGAAACAGTTCATGAAGAGGGAAGGAGGGATATTTCCGCCCCCCCACCCCCCCCCCCCCAAGTAATCTAGCACCCCCTCTCATGATTGATGCAGATTATGTTGAAAATATCTCTTTGATACAAGTGATATAGTGCTCAAGAAGCTCCTTAAGCCATTTGCCCTATTAGAGTGTTGTTACTTTCACAATCTTACTTTACATTAAGGCTTTATCTCTAGCCAGTTAAACCTGCTGTAACTGGAGTGCAGTTATTCCTTCTTTCCTTGTATGGAAACCACCTATCAGCACAGTTGTAAATTTTAAGACCGGATGATTACAACACTTTCTTTTAATCGGTATTATGCAAAATGCGGATCAATATAAGGCTGAAGTGTTTAACTGCTTCCTCAAGTTAAGCAGAGTAGCCCTGATCCATCAGAAAGAAGGGAACAGGTAGACAGCTGAAACAAGATGGGCTTTTGTTCCCTATTTGAGGATTTCATGTCTAAAAAATATTAGCAGATTCGCACCACAACTCTCAACTATATAGTTTGTCATGTGCAACAACATGAGGCGATCTGGGTGAGGATTAATTTGTTATGTGATTCTGTCCAGCCTCTCCCCCAATATTCTGAATTATGTATTTAAAGAGCAGTGTAACAGATACGAAGAGAGAACATTATGTTGAAACAACAAGTTCTATGTCAAAGTTTACACCAGATGCATCTCAGTAATCCGGACACAACTTGCAATAAATAGTTTCATTTTGGAAAATAGCATTCTTTACTGGTAAACACTCTTCTGTAAACTGTACTAATACTGATATAGGCGCTGCTTTGTACATTTTTTAGGCTCTGTGCATGTGGCAGTCTTTCATACAAATTCCTGTATCCCTTCTCCTTTCCCTTTCAAAAGGTTAATCTCTCTCTGTGCAGAAAGGCCAGTGTGGGATTCAAATACAGGTTAAAAGAGTGAGGATCTATAGTCAGAGGCTAAACGTTTTTTTTTAAAAAAATGCATTTTTCATGAAAATCCTGCTTCACAGAGAACACCTTTCACTGAAAGGCACCAAGGGTTTGCTTGGATGTTTGTCTTGAACATCCTTGATTCCAAGAGGACAGCATTTTACAGGATTAAGCTTCACATTATGCAAATTACCATATCAAGACCGATTCACCTCTCGAAGTTGTTTTGTGCCTTCAGGAAGGTATGATCTCGTTCAACTGTAGATACTAATCTATTTCCCAGATGGCACACAACTTTGCATTCAAGAACAAAAGGCAGCTCAAATACAGAA